ATTGTATAGTTAGAGTGAAACACTACAGAAACACACTAAATCTCAGAAAGCTGCACAAATATTATTTTAATTTATTTTTATTTTGATATAAAAGCAGCTAAATTTAAAACTTCCTAAACTTTAAATGACTAGGTCTAAAAAAAGAACAACTAAAAAACCCCCAATTAACTATTTTTTTAAAGCTCCCAAAGGGGGAAAAAACTTATCCAATAGAACAGGGGTCTCCAACCTTGGCAACTTTAAAACTTGTAGACTTCAACTCCTAGAATTCCTCAGCCAGCTTTGCTTTGCTGGCTGAGGAATTCTGGGAGTTGAAGTCCACAATTTCCTGCCTGCTTGATTGAAGGCAGAGAGATTCAGTTGCTTGCTGATGCAATGGATTGCAGGGATTACAGCAAGGCGTTGCGACCAGCAGCTAAGGTAAGCAAGCTGAGGGGGGGAGGGGGAGGAATTTTTGGTACGAGCTATTTAAAAGAAAAAAAGTTTTTTTTTCTTTTACATGGCTCTGGCAATCCAAGCTGAGTTGCCTGATTAGCAGGCAACTCAGCTGGGATTGTCAGAGCTTGGCTGGTCAGAGCCATTTAAAAGAAAAAAAGGCTCTGATGATCATGCGGCTCAGCTGGGCATGGGGGGGGGGCGGGGGCAGGGATTTTTGCTACCGGTTCTCCGAACTGCCCGCCGCCATCGCTACCTACTCACCTGAGCCGGTCCGAACCGGGAGCATTTCACCCCTGCTCTGTAACCATTCTTGCCCCCACCCCCAAACATGGCATGGACAGTAGCTGTTAATCTAAGATTAGTTCACTGGACTTTGGAATGGAAGTGGACTGTAGCAAGCACCTAAGGCTGCTGCTGAAGTACTGCCCATGTTGTTGCCAGCAGCCTCTGTCTAAAATTTCTGGGTGTCTGCTCAGGCTGGATTGCTCTTGTCTGTCTGTTTCCACTAATAACCTGCTAAATTCCACCCCCACCCCATGAAGAAGTTAGCAACCCATACGCAAGGTCTCTAAGGACAGATAATGGCCAAAAGCATGTGCAGACAATGTGGCCCTAACATGTTTGTGAAACATAAGCAACGTTGAGGTCAAGCAGATCTTGGATGAAGGGTGTTCCAAAGAGAAGACCTCATGCCTGGTCCACAGCCTATGAACCTCACAAAGAGGGGAGAACCCTGAACAGGACGATTTATGTGCATTTTGGTATGTCACGTTTTATCTTATTGTTACTTGCAAATGGGACAGCATATAAATATTGGGAACAAACAAACTGAGAATCTGCAAATTAATTACAGATAGCAGCCCCTCAACCTGCAAGCGGTTATTACTGCTCAAACTTATAACAGCCACAGGACAGGTGTTTTATGATCATTGTAAATGGTCACACTGCGCCTCCTGCAGTCTCAAGGTCATATTGCAGCTTTATGACTGGTTGCAGCACTCCACAGTCATGTGACTATGATGTATTTTGCCAGTTTCTGACAAGAAATGCCCATTCAAATGAATCAGTTCACTTAACGTCCACAGCATTTGCCGACTGGCTGCCATGAAAAAGGCCATAAAATTACTTCCGGTCATATGGATGCCTCAACATATAACTGTAATGTTTTACAATTGAATTTCCAGTCCCAGTGATGCTCATAAACCAAGGGCTATCTTAGAAAGGTAGAGATTTCCTCTTCCAATCATGTCTGACTCCAGGGTGCAGTGCTCATCTCCATTTCCAAGCTGAGGGAGCCAGCACTGTCCAAAGACATTATCTGTGGTCATGTGGCCAGCATGACTATACACCAGGGTGCACGGAACACTGTTACCTTCCCATCGAAGTTGTACCTATTGATCTACTTGCATTTGCATGCTTTTGAACTAGATAGGCAGGAGCTGGAGCAAGAAATGGGAGCTCACCCTGTTACATAGTACTCAGGTCTCGAACCCAGGCTGTCAGCTCTCCAGCTGACAAGCTCAGCATCTTTAACCGCTGAGTCATCGTGCCCCCCTTTTGACTACCCTATATGCACCATCAAATGTTTATTACCCAATAATCAGCCATTCTTTCAATATACTTTCAAACACTAACCTCACAAAAGCAACGAGTGGCGCAAAGAGCCATGGAAAGAAACATGCTTGGCACCACATGACAAGATAGAAAGACCTGCACATGGATGAGAGAACAAATGAAAATATATGATATCGTCAAGAGAGTAAAAGAACTGAAATGGAAATGGGCTGGTCACATGGCAAGAAGAACTGATGACAGGTGGACCAATAAAATGGATCCCACTTGATAAAAAGCGTCCATGAAAGAGACCTAAACAAGATGGAGCGATGACATCATTGTGTTTGACTTTGGGAGGAGTGGCTGGGGGGCATGGCCAGCATGACGTCACTCATGTTGGGGGGGGCACAGGTGGTGGCCCAAGTGTTCTGCCAGCGAAAATGGGCTCCTGAGCTCCGTTTTCAGCTGCGATGGCCTCCTGTAACCCTCTGCCAGCCAAAACAGAGCTCGGGACGGCTGTGCGCAGCCCTTGTGAGCTCTGTTTTCACTGGCAGAGGCAAGTGGGCCAGTCCTTCGCTGTTTCCAGGGTAGTCCTGTGGGCCAGATCTAAGCACCCCGTGGGCCGGATCCGGCCCCTGGGCCTTGACTTTAACATCCCTGCTCTAGAAAGAATGTAGAGAAGAGCAACCAGGGTGATTAGGGGACTGGAGGCTAAAACATATGAAGAATGGCTGCTGGAATTGAGTGTGCCTAGTCTAGTGAAAAGACATGATAGCAGGGTTCCAATATTTGAGGGGCTGCCACAGAGAGGAGGGGGTTAAGCTATTTTCCAAAGCACCTGAAGGCCAGAAAAGGAACAAGGGAAGGAAACTGATCAAGGAGAGATTCAGCCTGGAAATAAGGAGGAATTTTCTGACAGAGCAATCAACCAATGGAACAGAAGCTGCCTTCGGAAGTTGTGGGAGCTTCATCACTGGAGGCTTTCGAGAAGGGACTGGACTGCCATCTGTCAGAAATGGTGTAGGGTCTCCTGCTTGGGCAGGGGGTTGGACTAGATGACCTACAAAGTCCCTTCCAACTCTGTTAATCTGTTAAAATGATGAGAAAGATGGTGATGATGTTGATGATCAGCCATTCAATTAACTTCAACCAACTTGTTTATTCAAGCTTATTTAGTTATTTTTAACGTCGAATATCTGAAGCTCCCTCAGTGGTTTATAATCAAACACGCTAAAAAGTACAATTGACTGCTAAAGCTCTCAGTACATCAAGGGAAAAGTGCCTATTTGCCCAGCAACAGCAGGAACATCATGTCATGCCTGAATTTATAGAATCCCAGGAAGCGAGCACTTGATTTTCCTCCTGTCATCAAAGTAAGTAGAACAGAATGCCCTACAAAGATACAAAAACAATATTTTGGTATCAGAATCCATGCTGCAGATGGCACACCAGAAGAGGGTCAATTCATTAATTATATTTCTTCGCTAATCACTTCTTGACTTTCAGCATTATTATTTTATCCCTTCCAGCTTAGGAACAAAAATGAAAGAGGCCTCTCAACTCCAAACCGTTCATGAGAAAACACTACCCCCCTCCCAAAAAACCTCCTAATATTTGACAAAGCCAGAAACATTGGCCAAAACACTGAGCATCAACCAGTATCGGCATATGTCGCCCAAGCAAGGTAAGCAGGTTTGGCATGAATGAATACAGAAGCAGCTGAAACTGAACTGAGGCCAATAAATACTGCAAAGAGACATATGGGCACAAACAAAGCTGTATCAAAGCAATACTGACCAAAATCTGCACAACGTTTACCCAAGGATACAAAAATAAAAATATGGGGAAAATTCAAGAGAGATTTTACTATCATTAAAAGCATTTATTAGCTACTTTCAAAATTCAGGATAGCTGGTAATAAGAAAGAACAGCTGGAAAACAGGTTTTTTTGGGGGGGGAGGATTAGCTGTATCTTAAATGCAAATATCATAATTAAACACAAGTTAGCTAACCAAGCAAGCTGAAGGCCAAAGGGAGAAGTAAAATGTTCTGTATCTTGAAAGCTCCTCCACTCGGGAAGAACAGAGAATGTGTGAAAATCAACCAAGGTGGAAGGAGAACATAGGTTTGGGCAACAAAGTTCTGCTTTGTTCTGGGAATAGTTTTCCTCTCAAACTCTGCAGGAAATTCCAACTGGTCAAGTTTTGCAAGAAGGAAGGCAACCTCTCTGTTTGCTTCTCATCAATCTGACATGTTGAGACACCTAAACATGTAGCTGGAGAAGACCAAACCTGATCATGCACAGGGCCCTTCTAAGGAAAGGCCAAAACGTCTATGGAGATTCTCAATCATCCAGGTCATGGTTGTCCCAAAAGTGCTGTAGGAGATGATCGGGCTGGACCTTCTTGGTTTTTCCTTGAAAATATTTCTCTTCTCATCCAATAAGGTTCTTCAGTTTCTTGGATGAAAAGTGAAACGTTTTCAAAGAACAAAACCAAGAAAGTCCAGTTTCTTTTTGGAAAAAGCACTGTTGGGACTTCCTTGATGATGCCTTTTTGCAAAAGTAAGTGCCCTCAAGTCCATCAGTTCAGAAATTGGTTCAAACTGGATAATCCACATAAAATGGCCTTTGTTGCTACTGCTGGTTCATATTTCCTCTGAGCACAAGGCACAATGCAGTTCCAAATGAGAGGCTTCCAAGACAGATACAAAATCTCCCACTGTACAATCGAGTCATTCCTTCCAATTACAATCTCCCAGTCCTGGAGACAGAAGTGGACAAGCATAATGCAGACCCAAGTGAGCAACCCATCCCAATCGCTCCACAGGGAATGCAGGAGAAATCTTTGACTGATGGAAAGCAACCATCCTGACGCCTCACTTCCTGAAGGGTGGGTGGGTTTTGCTGAGCAAAGGTTCCCAAACACTTTGAGGATGGACTTTTCCTCACTTCATCAACAATTCTTGCCCAGCCATTTCAACAGGAAACAAATTTCCATTTTGCTTACCTTTTAAGATTATTTCAGCACCATTTTCTTCTTTTGTCACAAGCTGTTTTGCAGGTTCCTCTCCTCCCAAGGTTGTGTTCCCCAGTGCAAGTCCAAGAGAAGATCAGAAGTGTTTTCAATTATTGATGTAGGGCACTGAAGGAGACTGTAAAATAAAGGCAAGTGAGTTAGTGGAGAATTGCCCTTTCTCTGCTTATATAGCAAGTTAAATTAAATTAGTGGCATCTACATAAGGATCTCCTGCTGTTCCTGCATTCATATTCAAAGACTGCATCCTTCAGTTATTCAGAAACTCTCAGGAATACCACAAGAGGCAGGCAGCAAAGAAAGCGTAAAAATATTATCTATGAAAGGGCCTTGTGATTTTGGGGTGGGGTTTTAAGAATATGGTCCATGTTCAGCATTTAGAACATAGAATAAGCTGATACCAGAAACGACAGTTCTTTCACACTTGGGGGAAAAAGCAGGATATAACTGCCTACACGAATTCATTTATTCAGAAAATTGGTCGTTTGCTCCAAGGAGTTCACAAAACGTATCCTGTAAGGCTGGTGAGCAACAGTTTTGGAAGATGATTCAATGAAAAGTGCAAACAGGAAGGTGAGGGCACAAAGGCGTGGGGCTTTACCAGTGGTAAAATCCACTTTTTTTTACTACCAGTTCTGTAGGCGTGGCTTGGTGGGCATGGCTTGGTGGGCATAGCAGGGGAAGGATACTGCAAAATCCCCATTCCCTCCCCACTCCTGGGGGAAGGATACTGCAAAATCTCCATTCCCACCCTACTCCTGGGGGAAGGATATTGCAAAATCTCCATCCCCACCCTACTCTGGGGCCAGCCAGAGGTGGTATTTGCCAGTTCTCCGAACTGCTCAAAATTTCCGCTACCGGTTTTCCAGAACCTGTCAGAACCTGTTGGATTTCACCCCTGGGCTTTAGCGTGCATGGGGGCAGAGCCAGGACCCCTCATTTTCTCATTTATCATTTAGTTGTGGATTCACCACTGCTGGAGGTTTTCAAGAAAAGATTTGTCCGGGATGATATAAGATCTCCTGCCATTGGCTTGGATTAGAAGACCAAAGATACCAACAGGCAAGACAAAAACAACAATGGTTGGAAACTAACAAAAGAGAGAAACAACCTAGAACTAAGGAGAAATGTCCTTAGAGAACAATCGATCACTGGAAGGGCTTGCCTTCAGAAGTTGTGGGCGCTCCATCACTGAAGGCTTTGAAAAAGAGACTGGACAACCATTTGTCTAAAATGATATAGGGTCTCCTGCTTGAGCAGTGGGTTGGACTAGAAGACCTCTGAGGTCCATCTATTATTTTATATGTTCTAAGATCTCCAAGGTTCCTTCCAGCCCCATGGTTCTATGATCTCCTTCCAAAAGGGGACAACTGTGGTTTTTCCTTGTTTGCTTGCATGCTAAAGCTTCTCTCTTACCCCATGTTTCTTGCCTCAAAAAAGAAGATCAATATTCAGCCTAATGGTCCAAGAGTCTTATGAAGCCCAACAGTGGGATTGGGGGTCATACCTCAACTGCTGTTATATGAAATCTGACTGATTCCCATGCTACATTATCTGCAATAAGCCTCTTGACCAGACCAAGAGTTTCTGCCAAATGTAATCCAGTTAGTCAGGACAGTCTTCTGGAACAGGCGTCTCCAACCTTGGCAACTTGAAGACTTGTGGACTTCAACTCCCAGAATTCCTCAGCCAGCTTTGAATTCTGGGAGTTGAAGTTGAAGTCCACAAGTCTTCAAGTTGCCAAGGTTGAAGACCTCTGTTCTGGAATACAATTGCTAATTGTTTTTTCACCACACTACAGTCTGTTCCCTGGCTTTTCTTCTTCTTTTGGCTCATATTCAGATGCCCATTACGTTTGTGGAAGTTTACTATCCCAAAGTTTGAAAAGCTAGGTCCCTCACCGGAACTGCCAAAGAGCATATTTACACGATTTCAAAATTAGGCAACATTTCAGATTCAAACATCTCTCTTTCTCTGAATGTAAATTCTTTTCTCCTGGACATCTGAAAACAATTACCTCTCCAGATTGTTTTGATTTTAGCAGCTATCAAACATGAAATAAATTGTCAAATGTTAAAATATCCTCCCATATTATCTGTCACGTTCTGATTCTGTATGCTGCCTATCAAATCCTGCTAAATATTATGTTTTTAACTATCAAACAAAGCTAAATGTCAGCTATCAACTATTATCAGGTGTCGATATACAACCACTGAGAAATCTAGAGATCAGATATCATCTAAAGGAAGGCTTCTGAGACGAAATTCAATTTCAGATTTGCCCCACATTTCTTTCTAGATAAAAGATTTGTGGAAACCATTCTAAGTTGGATGAATTCCAGATTTTAAATGTAATTTATCAAAATGAACGAATAAATAAATAACTTATAATATTGCCGACAGAAATAAATATAACACAGAAGCAGTCATAATCATACAGCAATTACAGTATACGCCCTCTTCAATATTCTCATTGTTCATTTTGTTTGCTTGACTTAATTAAACAAAAAAGAAATAGGAAAAAGGAAAAAGGAAAAAGAACAATGAGAACAAAACAATTATTCAACAGCAAAATATATATAACAGGTTTTGATACTTCTATATATAAATTTTTACATAAGAGTTTCAAGGAACAATAATAATTTGCTTTATACCGATGACTCTACTCAGCTGAAATTGCAAAAGATCTGGAAGCTTTAGTAAGGAAAGTCGAGGAACAAAGTGAAAAAATGAAACTAAAATTAAATATAAAATGGGCCAATGACAGGCACAGCAACCAGCTGTAGAATGAATAATGAAGATATCTCAATGATAGATAGAAGTCTGTCTTTTACAATTAGTTACCAACAACAAAGGACCTAACAGTTAAGAAATACGCCACACATTTCAATATAGAATCATAGGGCTGGAAGAGACCTAGGAGGTCTTCTAGTCCAACCTTTTGTCAAGCTATTGTGATGTTGTATTTCTCTATTTTAGAAAATAATAACCATTCATCTGCAACTGAAAACAGGGCATTGACATCTATATCTATCATCTTCTTTGATCACTCTAATACCTGAGTGATATTTTCAACCATACTTGTCCTATGTTCACACACCTTATGTAATTAGATGTTTTATTTGAAAGATAATCTTTTCCCAGTTACATCTCCCTGACCCACCAGAGCAGGGAGGTAGGGGATGTTAAGGGTTCCCTCTTTTAAGAAGGCCAATCTAGTGGGACCAAGAAGAAAGGCCTTCTCTATGGAGGCTCCCTCCCTGTGGAACACGATCCCTGAGAAGATAAGATCAGCCTCTACCTTGATACTCTTTCGAAAGGCCCTGAATACATGGGTTTCCAATTAGGGACACAGCCAGGTGGGAGGTAAGCTCAAGGGACTCAATGGGGCAGGATGGGTAGGTAGACTTGCACTTGGGTCAGTAGCCACGATGGCCTTGGAAAAGATATTCAGATGCCACCTAGAAAGAACAGAGTTAAGTTATTTTCTCTGTGACACTCCATGGAACCAAAGTTGCATTTGAAAAAAAGAGGAGAGAAGGAGTATTTACTTGCTGATAGCTAACAAATAGGTAACACTGGATTTTTCAGAAATGGAAAAGGACGATGACCACCACAGATCAAAGACAGAGTTATAGAAAAAGTCAAGGAAAAGCAAGAATGACAATGAAGATGAGTTAAGTTGGTAGAGAATGAGAGTTGCAAAAGTAGGATGTTCCAAGAAAAAAAGCCCATGTAAAAGGTCCTATTGCTCATGGAAAGCTATGAAACTGTTACAATACAAGTTTCATCCTGATGTGGAGTCTACATGTTCCATTGTGCTCAGAAAGGCACATGGGACTTGTGATCCAATACATTGGGAAGAGACTACACTAGAGAAGAGCACTGATGCCAGTCTTTAACTGCCATGGTTTTCTTAAATCAAATACTTCTTTTGTCAAGTGAATACAAGCAGTAGGCTCATATTTTATTACACTGATCTCTTTGTTGCCTTGGAGGTTATAGACGATGGGGAAAAATACAGTTTGTATCCCTCCCTCCCTCCCTCCCTTCCTTCCCATACGCAATGACACTCACTTATGTACAGATAGGTATATGCCTCATACTGAATGATAGTTTAACCATGGTCCAGAGAATAAACCACATTTGTTTGGGTTTACTCATACACACAAAAAAATAAAGGTTTCCCATTCGGACTCCAGGGCACGGTGCTTACTTCTGTTTCTTGGCCGAGGGAGCCAGTGTTGTCCAAAGACAATTTCCATGATCATGTGGCCAGCATGGCTATATGCCCAAAGGTGCACAGAACATTGTTACCTTCCCACACAAGTGGTACCTATTAATCTGCTTGCATTTGCATGCTTTCAAACTGCTAGGTGGGCAGGAGCTGGGACAATGGGAGCTCACAAACCTAGGCTGTCACCTGTTGACCACTGAGCCATCGTCCCCCATTCACAAAAAACTAAGCCATAAACCATAAATTTAGAAGAACTGTGATGTTGCAACAAGTTAAGACAAAGACAAGGAAACCATACAATAGTGGCTGATCTGTCTCTTTAATGTAAATGCAATTTGCAATTGTGATAAATATGGTTTGCCTAATATTTGCAAAATAAACTCCATTTGTCTAGGTTCAAACAATGGAGCATGAGAAAAATCATGGTTTACAAACCACAATGTCAAGCTATGCATATAGTCAGCAGTGAGTTTCAAATTATTTTACTACCGTTTGCACATGTGCCTGGCCTTCCACACATGTGCTTTGCAATAGGATGACATAGAGCCAGGGCAAGTGGGCGGACCCATTCGCGATTTCTGCTACCGGTTTGAGTGAACCAGTCTGAACCGGCTGAATACCACCTCTGCATAAACTGTTAAACTCAAATTAATCATGTTCTTTCATCCTTTGGGAAACCCCAAGATCCCATCTGGAGCTCTGTAAACGTTCATTCTTGGATCCCTGCTGGGCCTGGATTGGCTTTTGTACTGGGCTTTCCCCCTTTTAATGGAAAGCAGCTCTTCTGTTTCTTGCAACCTGGAGCAAGTTCAGCCAGACAAAGTGGCTGGCATCCTTTCTGATGAACAGAGACGTCTGCTTCCACAGAAATACAAACGACTG